TTGTTTGTAATTAATCTCAAAACAAGAAACAACAATATACTCATTTGGCCAAGCCATTATTTGGATAATCTTTCTAAATTCAAGTACACAAACTTGAGAATTTATTATGGCATATTGATATGTCATGACATAATCTACCTTCTCTACTATCAACAATGCCATATCAAAGTAACAATTTAACATGTAAATCCCTTCTAACACTTTCCCAAAGTCATAAGTTTCACAATTTCTAATTCAATAACTAAATAAAATGTGCTACCGAAGAAATACTAAAGGTACAAGTAACTTGAACCATACACTAAAAGCCATTTATCTCATTGAACTAAAATGACCAAGTGATATTCTAAATTTTGGCATAACAAAATGCACTCTTGAATACTAAAATTTACACTTGATTAAGCCTAACATAACCTTTCAACTCCAATTCTTTCCTTTCTCTAACAATTTCTTCAATAAGATTTAACAAACTCATGCATGCATTTCTCTTTGAATTTTCATCAAACAATTCACATGCACATGCAAATACTTAGTTGGCCACACTTCCACAACTCTCCAAATCCACCAAAATTGGAGCAAAACTCACTAAATTTAACTTCAAATCTAGCCGGATTCAACACTTCAAAATTTCATCAACAATTCTTCCGTATTTCATCCATAATTCCACCAAATCACCACATACACATGAACTACTTCTCATGGCTGGAATTTTACACATCATTCAACATTAAAACAACCAATAATTCTCACCATACAATCACATACACACATACAAGAATCAATCTACACAATTATTGCTCAAATCAAGACTAAAATTGGATATACTTACTTTGAATTTGTGCAACACTAATGATATAACCTCCCTTTGCTAAAATTCTCTTCCTCTTGGACCAAAATCATATAAAACCATAAGAATTTAAAACTTTAAAGGTTAATCATACACCTTTGTGCTAGAATCTTACCTTTGGATGCTTTGGGATTGAAAATCTACAAAAATTTAAGCCAATTCCTATGAATTCTCTTTGAAATTTGGTGAAGAAGTTTGAGAGAAATTGGATGAGGGGTGGCGTGTACAAGGGATGGAATGGCTAGTGTTTAGTTTATTGAAACCTTTTAACTATATATATGTTCCCATTTTGCTCTTGCACTTTTATGATAATTCTAATTACGCCATACGTGCATTTACAGATATACCCTCACTTTCAATGGATTTAACATATGTTCTTGGTCATCTCCCCACTCTTTCATCTAGTCGTGAGTGAAAAGACCATTTTATCCTTATTCTTTAATTTCTTTCCATTACTTTACAAACATGTATTTATCTCGGCATCACATCACGTGTATTGTCCATAACCTTTCTACCACTCTATTCTCATGGCTAGCACATTTAATACATTATATTTATCATTCTCACTGTTCACTTCAACATGTGATTCTGTGTGAAATGACCATTTTGCCCCCATTGAAACTTTTATGGAATTCTTCTATAAAACTAGTTAAATATATTCATATGACTATAGAATAATCTCTACCATATTTTTGAATGTGGGTATTACATTGCCTCCCAAGAAGCGCTTGATAGTCAGAAGCTCAACTTTCTCCTAGGATCTCATTCTAGGATATCGAGTTTGATGGGCAATGACTTGCAACTCAGCAGTCCATCAATGTACGACTTCAATCACTGCCCATTCACCTTAAATGTACCCTTTTCCTCATGCGAGATCTCAACAGCTCCATATGGGTAGATTTGGGTAACTATGAAGGGTCCGAACCATCTAGACTTAAGTTTTCTGCTAAGAGCCTAAGTGTAGAATTGTATAGCAATATATACTTTTTGACCCACTTCAAAGTTTTTCTTCGTTATGTGCTTGTCGTGCCACATCTTGGTATTTTCTTTGTATATACAGGCATTTTCATAAACATCATGACGAAACTCATCAAGTTCATTCAATTGCAGCATTTTTTCTTCCCCAATAGCTTGTAAATCCAGGTCTAGCTGCATTACTGCCCAGTATGCCTTATGCTCTAGCTCCACCAACAAGTGACATACCTTACCATACACCAGACGGAACGGAGACATGCCAATTGGAGTCTTAAATGCAGTACGGTATGCCCACAATGCATCATCTAACTTTCGTTACCAGTACTTCCTGGATGCATTAACCATCATTTCTATAATTTTTTTCAGCTCCCTGTTTGAAAGTTTCACTTGCCTGTTGGTCTGAGGATGGTATGGTGTAGCAACCCTATGTATCACTCCATATTTTCCCAAGAGAGCTTCAAACTGCCTATTGTAAAAATGGGTTCCTCCATCACTGATGATTGTTGTGGTACTCCAAATCTTGAGAAAATGTTTTTCCTCACAAAGTTCACCACCACTTTGGCATTGTTGCAGGGTAATGCAATTGCTTCCACCCACTTCGACACATAGTCAATAGCCACAAAGATATACAAATTCCCATATGAATTCGGGAAAGGGCCCATGAAGTCAATACCCCACACATCGAAAAGTTCAACAACCAAGATGTTAGTCAATGGCATCTCATCTCTCCTTGAAATATTTCTACTCCGTTGACATTGGTCACATTCCTGAACAACCCAAAAAGCGTCCTTGAATAAAGTTGGTATTAAAATCTAGATTGAAGGACTTTAGATGCTGTTCTAGCGCCTCTAAAGTGACCACTGACTTCCTTCTCATGGCAATGCCTTAAAATACTCTCCATTTCTTCTTCTTGGACATATCTTTGTATCACCGGATCTACACAATGTTTATACAAAAACAGTTCTTCCCAAAATAGAATTTCAAGTCAAAGATTTTTTTTTTCTTTTTCTGGAAAGTCATGCCATTTGGAAGCACTCTTCTTGATAAGTAATTTGCAATATCTGCATACTAAGGTGCTTCTTCAACTCTCATCAATTTCTCATCTAGGAATGTCTCCTTGATTTGAGTTTCCTCTTCACTTCCTTATGCTGGTTGTTCAATCCTTGATAGATGATCTACTACCATATTTTCTAACCCTTTTTTGTCTCGGATTTCCAATTCAAACTCTTGCAGTAGTAAGATCCATCTTATTAGCCTTGGTTTTGCTTCTTGCTTTGCCAACAGATGCTTGAGTGCTGAATGGTCCATGTAGACAATCACCTTAGCACCTAGCAAATAAGAGCGAAATTTGTTATATGCAAAAACAACGGCTAAAAACTCTTTTTTCAGTAGTGGTGTAATTCAACTATGCATCAATTAATGTCTTGCTAGCATACTGAATTACATGCAAAACCTTGTTCTTTCTTTGTCCTAAAACCACTCCTAATGTAAAATCACTAGCATCACAAGCTCTTTTTAAGTAGTGGTGTAATTCAACTATAAAAATAATGGGTGCAGACACTATTAATTTCTTAAAAGTTTGAAAAGCATGCATGCATTCATCATCAAAATCAAATGATGCATCTTTAATCTACAAATTGCAAATGGGTCTAGATATTTTGGAGAAATCCTTTATGAATCTTCTATAGAACCCTGCATGCCCTAGGAAACTCCAGTCTGCCACATTTGTAGGTGGTGGCAGCTACTCAATCACTTCCGTTTTGGCTCGGTCTACTTCAATGCCATTCTTTGAAATTCGGTGATCGAGCACTATACTTTCTTGAACCATGAAGTGACACTTCTCCCAGTTGAGCACCATATTTGTATCTTAACATCGCTACAAAAAAAGGGAAAGGTTAGAAAGGCAATTATCAAAAGAAGAACCAAAATCAGAGAAGTCATCCATGAAGACTTCTATGAACCGCTCCACCATGTCACTGAATATCGACATCATGCATTGCTGAAATGTGGTCGGTGCATTGCACAACCCAAAAGGCATCATTCTATAAGTAAAGGTACCATAAAGACAAGTGAATGTCATCTTTTCTTGATCTTCAGAGGCAATGGGGATCTAATTATATCCTAAATAACCATCCAAGAAACAATAGTACGCATGCCCTGCTAGCCTTTCCAACATTTGATCAACAAAAGGAAGTGGAAAATGATCAACATTTCTTGTTTCTTCATTCAGCTTCCTGTAGTCAATGCACACCATCCAACCTTTGACTGTCCTAGTTGGTATCAATTCATTGCTTTCATTCTTCATTACCGTGATACCTTCTTCCTTTGGGACCACTTGCACTGGGCTCACCCAAGGGCTATCTGAAATAGGGTAGATGATACCTGTATCTAAGAGTTTTACCACTTCCTTTCTCACTACTTCCTTCATAGAAGGATTTAATCTTCGTTGTGGCTGCACTTTAGGCTTGACATCATCTTCCATGAGTTTCTTGTGCATACAAAGAGATGGAGAAATGCCTTTAATGTTAGAAATGGTCCATCCAATGGCTGATTTATGCTCTCTTAACACTTGAATCAATCTCTCTTCCTCTACTTTATTCAACTTTGCATTAATGATTACTGGGAAGGATTTTGATTCACCAAGATACACATATTTAAGGTGAGGTGGTAAAGGCTTTAGTTCAAGTTTTGGAGGTTCTTCCGTTCTTGCCTTTTCCTTCTCTTTTTCTATGTCAAAATCTTCAAATTCTAGATCTTGGCTTGTGTTTATCGGTTAGAGTACTTCCAAATACCTACCATACTCATTCTTATTTGGTTTGTCTACCTCGGTTGTTTTGGATTAGGCAATGCAAGCTTCTAGAGCTAGTTGTAGGGTGATCTCTTCGATAGTATCCGCTACAAGTTTATCCACCAAATCCACACTAAAACATGAATCTAACTCTGATGGAAATTTCATAGCCTCGAAGACATTAAAAGTCACAGTTTCATCTTGGACCCTTAGGATCAACTTTCCTTGTTGAACATCATTCAAAGTCCTCCTTGTAGCAAGGAATGGTCTTCCCAGAATGAGCTGGATTTCCTTGTCTTCTTCCATATCCAACACAACAAAGTCCATAGGGAAGATGAACTTATCCACTTTAACTAGCACATCTTCAATAATACCCCATGGATGCTTGATGGATCAATCTGCAAGCTGCAAGGATACGGTTGTGGGCTTCACCTCACCAATCTCTAGTTTCCTGAAAACAAAAAAAGGCATTAGGTTAATGCTAGCATCTAAATCACATAAAACTCTATCAAATGTAATATCTCTTATAACACAAGGGATAGTGAAACTCCCTAGATCCTTGAGTTTTGGTGGTAGCTTCTTTTGCAGAATGACACTACACTCTTCTGTAAGCATCATTGTTTCATCCTCTTCCAGTTTCCTTTTGTTTGAAAGATCTCCATCAGGAATTTAGCATAACTTGGCATCTGTTGCAAGGCATCTGCAAAAGGTATGTTAATTTGCAATTTTTTAAATACATCTAGGAATTTCATAAACTACTTATCCTGATTTTGCTTTTTGAGCCTCTAAGGAAAAGGAACAGGAGGGGTATGATGTGCCAACTCCGGCGGTATCTTTGGAAAAGGTGGCTTCTCTTTTCTTCTCTTTTGTATGCTTTCTTGATGAAGTTCATTTTCTTGGCTCTGCACTTTCTCCTTCACTATGATTTCTTCATCAACTTTTTCCTCAGATTCTCCCTTCTTCTTTGAAGGGTTCTCATCCTTCTTCCTTGATTCAACTTCTTCTTTTGGTTTCCCACTTTGTAAGGTGATAGTATTTGCTTATTCACGTGGGTTAGTCACCGTATTGCTTGGCAAAGAACCTTGAACTCTCTCATTCAAATTTTCTGAAATTTGTCCCAACTGTACTTCCAAATTTCTGATGGATGCTGCTTGGTTTCTAAAATTGGACTGTGTCTCATTCATGAAGTTTGTGGTCTCTTGAATGAATTTCCCGAACATATTCTCCAACTTTGATACCCTCTACTCCATTGGTTGAAGATTCACCGCTTGTTGATGACTTAGTACTGTCCTTTGGTTCGATTGATTGCCTTGATTACTCTAGGAAAAATTTGGGTGATTTCTCCATCTAGGATTGTAGGTGTTGGAAAAAGGATTATTCTGGGGTCACTGATTTTTGGCCAAATAATTGACTTGCTCTAAAGATGAAGATGATGAAGCAAAGGTGTTCCCCACTTGGTAGTCAATGCTTGCATGGTTACCTACACACAAGCTTACATGTTAATTGAGGTGCTTGAATAGAATTAACCTGCATACCCCCTAATTGTTTCTGAAGTGCTACTAGTTGGACTGAAATGGCCGTGTAAGCATCAACTTCATGAACACCCATAGACTTCTTCGGATGTATTCTCTTATTAGGCCTTTGATAGTTGTTACTTGTCAGGACTTCAAGTAACTCATAGGCTGCTTCAGGTGTTATTTTGCAATGCTCCTCCAGATGCTACATTCACCATTTTTTGTGCATTTGGAAGCAACCCATTATAGAAGGTTTGGACTTGCATCCAAACATGCAAACCATGGTGTGGACACTTCCTCATTAGTTCCTTATATCTTTCCCATGCTTCATATAGTGACTCATTCTCATCCTGCATAAATGATGTGATGTCGTTTCTCATCTTTGCTGATTTCGCTAGTGGGAAATATTTAGTTAGGAACCTTTGTGCAAATTCATTCCAGGTGGTGATTGTCCCTGCTGGTAGTGCCAATAACCATCCCTTTGCTTTATCTTTTAGTGAAAATGGAAATAATCTCAACCTGATGGCATCATCTAACACTCCGTTTGCTTTAAATGTGTTGCATATCTTGAAGAAGTTAGCAATATGTGAGTTTGGATCTTCATTTGGATTTCCCCCAAACTGTACCGACTGTTGGATCATTTGAATGATTGTCGGCTTTATCTCAAAATTATTGGCTTGAACTGATTGCCTAGTGATACTTGGAAAACTACCATCAACTGTGGGCACTGAGAATTCCCTCAAAGTTCTATCGTTCGCCATTTCTGTGCGTAGTGTCTCTTCTCTCTCTCTTCGTTCCCTAATAAGTCTTCTAGTTGTTCTCTCAATCTCTAGATCAATGGGAACTATAGGGAGACTTCTTACTCTTGACATAAACTACAGAAGGAAGAAAAAGGAAGATCGTGAGATTACACAAACTAAAAAGAATGAAAGTAAAACTAAAGGTAAAACTGAAATTTAAAGCTTTAACTTAGCGAAAATCAGAAGAATTCAATATCAGCACAAAATCAATCCCTGGCAACGGCGCCAAAAACTTGATGTGTGATTTGATAAATATGCATATGTAGCAAGTACACTAGTCGCAAAAAGTAATACAATGATGAAGTTTCCCACGAGGATTGCGTGCTAATTACTGAGTTTCTTAATTTTATTACTAATTGAAGAATACAAAAATGTGGAATTGTGGGGGAAAGTAAAGCTAGAATTAAAACACAAAATCAAACAACTAAGATTAACACTAAACTAATCAAAACAAATTCAAAGCACAGCAAAAGAGGTTAGGGTTCGACTTCACTAGGATACTCTAGTTTAATCTACAATTTCTATTGCTTCCAAATTCACATAAAAGGATTATAAATCAAATTCCTTAAGTTGTATAATATACCTTCTCAGGCTATATTCTCCTACCTATCCCTATTAAACTTCCACACCTAACAAAATGAAGGTTAATAGTTCAAAGTCTGTTAAGCCAAATGGAATCCTATAAAGATTTCATAGATTGCTAAACCTATCTCTAGCATTGCTTAATCTACGGTGTTTACTCTAAGAAGCTAACACATGAATCACTTCTCAGTCTCATCATGCTCAACATTCAATTGAATCAAAAGAACCAACATCCAACTGCATTAAGAACAAGAATAAACACATAATCCAAGCAATAGAACTAAAAAACAACACAAATTTATAGATTAAACCATTATAATCCAAGTTACATCAAAACCCTAACCTAAAAGTGAGTTAGTTCATGCTCAAAATAAAGAAAAACATCACATAAACAATAAACGCGGAGTTCAACATATTAGAAATTGAACGAGGAATGAATTCTTCCCTATTTAGGGACCCAAATTCCTCAAATCTCCTTCTCCTCTTCCCCTTATCTAACAGTGTTGACCACCTCTAAAAAATGGATAAGTCTCTCTTAAATAGTCGGCCAAAAACCCTAGGAACTAATACAATACAAGCAAAACGCAACGTTTTACAAAAATAGATTTTGCAGTTTTCGCCGCAGCGAAGAAGAATCTCGCTGCGACATCGATTTGAATTTTGCTGAACCATCTGACCTGAGGCTAGCTTGCCGTGGTGAAGAAAGAACCTTGCCGCGACAAACTCTTGCTAAACTTTTATAAAATTACGAAAATACCCTCTGCTTGCTTCTTCGCTTGAGTCTTTGATCTTCGTGATCCCCAATAGGAGCAAACTTCACAGTGCTTCCAATCAACATTAAAATTCCCCTGATTCCTAAATTTCGCTTGATTCCGAGTCCAGAAACTCATTTTCGCTCAGTTTTGCTCCAACTGCACGTTGGCCTAAAACGTAAAATAAACAAATTTAAGTAGTAATTCCGGCACAAAACTTAATAAAAAGTATCCGAAATCCTACAAAAAGCACAAAGAAAATAGTATAATCCTAGGATTATCAGTATCTTATAAAATTTCAGTTACCCCCTATTAATTTACAAAATGACAAATAAACCTTAAAAATTTGCAAAGACACCCCTTAAAAATTAAGAAACGAGCATTTAGTAGTTTTCAATTTTCATTACTCATTCATTTGTGTCCAATCACAGTCATAAATCCTTGGAAATATATATATATAATTAAATTTTACATCAAAGTATAGTTGTTGAATTAATTTTGGGAATTAAATTTTAGTGAACTTTATTATCGAAAAATACAAATATTACATAATATTATAATTACTAGAGTGAAAACGAAGTTTTCTGAATTTGCCCATAAGTTAATTAAATATTTAATCATTTAATTAAGTAACGTACTAATGTTCATCAATTTATCATATATAATTACTAATTTACCATAGATATGCTTAGAATTTGATAATTGAAGTAAATATTATTCAATCAAATATACTATTTTATTAAAAAATAATTCTTTTAATAACATTAAAAACTTTTAATTGGATCCTAATTCCAATTATACAGTCAATTAATCAAATAATTAATGAATCTAACATATTTTGATTCTCTTAAGTCTTAATCACATGCCCTCAAAATTTTAACATTATAGTAGGTAGTTTTGATTTTTGTATTTTAATAAATTTCTAATAATTACATCATTTTGGAAAAAAATTCATACACAATTAGTAGGTGGTTTTGATTTTTGTATTTTAATAAATTAACAAATAATCACTTATTTTTTATACTTGTTGAACTTCGATTCATACAATCATACTTATGAATTAATAAAAATAATTTATATAATATTATAATTACTAAAGTGAAAATGAAGTTTTTAAATTTGACCATAAGTTAAATTAACATTAACTATGACAAAAGAATCAAATTAAATATTAATATTAATATGATTTATGAATCTTTAATTAAATAATTAGTATGTCTCTAAGTTTGTTTTATGTCATTAATTTAAGTTTGATTACAAAACACTTACATTTCTTAATATACCATGAATTTTCATACTATAATATTATAATTAATTAAATGTCTAATCTTTAATTAAATAATGTACTAATTTTTATCAATTTATCATATATAATTATTTTTCTTAATATATAATTAATTTATAATGTGCTAATGTCATTAAATTTAGTTTGATTAACGCTTACCTCTTTCTAAATATACCATAAGTTGTCATGTATAATGTTATAATTAATTAACCAATATACTAATGTTCACCAATTTATCATATATAAATAGGTGAACATTAGTAAATATTATTTAATAGGCTTATATATATATATATATATATTATTTAATTAATTCATATAACCAACCCCACCCACTTCTTCGCCACGTCACCCACATGTCTTCATTGCATTTTAAATTTTTATATGTAAAATTATATAGACCCCATACTTTACTGATGCTTCTGTTCCAGTCTTGGTTCCATCTGGGTACCTGACCTCAGTTCTTATTCTAAGTTTTGGGTCCAGTTCTGATTCCTATCCATGCAGGAACTGGAATCGACCCATACAGTGACGGTTTCAAAAAATTGGAATTGTAACCTATCCTATGAAGGCCGGTTTCATGTAGATTTCGATTCTCGTTCTGGTTTCAGTTCAACCCGTCGGTTCAGGGTAGATTCGTTACCCATGCTCACCCCGACTTTTGAAATGACTTGGGTCTGGGTGCAGGCATCTTTGTAAGATTGACATGGAATCCGAGTTTAGGAAAGATAGAAGCAACCAAACGGAAAGCGAGGCAAAGTAAACTGACTCCTTCTCATCTTTGGGGAAAAAATTGGCTCGAAATGTGCAAATGGAGGGCAAAATCCTCTTTCGATTAAATTGTTGAGCGAGATAAAATTCCTCACGTCGTGGTCAGCTTCAGGCAACTCCTGAATTGGAGAACCAGTTTTGAGAGGACCGGGGAAGGAAATTCTGGTCACGGTTAACTATTGAAATAGAAAAATAGATCGTTAGAAGCAAAAAGTAACGAACTATGAATTTGAAAATTAGCGTCAACGAGCACATGCAGGCTTCCTCCCTCAAGGAGTCGTTATCTCTGCAATGGAGGAAATAGTAGTCAGTATCCAATTCGTTGTTTTGTTCAAGATCCTGACCAATCCATTAATCGAGCTTCTCTTGGCTTTGGTTAGGTAGTAAGTCCCTCCTTTTTGCTTCTTAAGATAATATACATGGACGAGCTCATCGACAGATAACTTGTACAATCCACCCTTCTTGAAGGCGAGGTACATACCCACCATTATTATATACGAATTCGCTATCAACTAAAGTAGAACAACGTTGAAGTGTCCTAGCACATTGGCAATGAAGGGTGGGGTGAAACAGGCATTCCACACTTCAATAAAACCTTGGAGATCGCAACCCAATCTACAGGCAAATCCCTTGATGAGTAGCCACTGTGCAATGAAGCAGATTGGAAATCCCATTCTTGTTTTTGATTCTCTTTAAGTCTTCTAAGGTCATCGCAAAGATCGAGCTCCTCTTTGCTCACGTCCTTAGGTTTAACCACCTTGATGGAATCTTCATCAGAATCAGCATTAGAATCTTTGATCGAGCTCCAAGAATTGAGCCCTAGCCTGCTAGGTCGACTCCTACCTAAGACTTTTGCAGCGAGTTCATCTTGAACTCTGTCCTCGGTTTTAGTTCAAACTACCGAGGATATTTCATTGAAAAACCTACAATGCTTTGGTCACTGGACTCCATGTTGATGATCTTGTCTTCAGATACCTGAAAAATGCAAGGACAAGTGTTACGAGCTATCTAAGCCAAGATGGTTAAACCTACCTACACTTGCCTTCAGTCCTAAGTAGCCGAGGTGCACTAGAGTGAACCTCCAACGACGAGCTACTACAACTAACCCAGACTCCAACAACAAATTCCAGTTACTTTATACAACTTTCCTAATCTAAGACTCATCAACATGAACTCCTGTTCAATCCACTTCATCACAAGCAAAACAACCACAATAATGCCAAGCAAAGACAAGAATAAAAGAAGAATTGAGGAACATAGACTTACTTGGGAGTGGGGAATTGGAGAAGTTGTTAGTAAACCACTGTGAAATCAGAATGTGCGCAGCCGAGATTGAAAGAAAAAAAATTTTGGTTTGGGAACAAAAAGTTTGCAAAAGTTTTCTGACTCTGGCTTAGAGTTTCTTTTATAGCAAGTCACCTCGGGGCGGCAGACGATCATGACTGTTCATTCTCACAAAAGATCTCAACCTTTCAATTCCTTCGATGATCTCATTCGTCCATCTAGGCCACATGGCAGCAATCTATGGTGATAACATAACTACCGTTTCGAAAAGAGAAACGTCACAACTC